TCCAACTCAAAAAAAAAAAAAAAAAATATTCACTGATTTTGTTGCAAGCACCAAGAACAGTAACTGGTATGTAGCAAATGCCCTATAAAGTTTTTTTTTTTTTTTTTATGAATGAACAATGAACACTCAAATGTCAGTTTTTTTCTGAAGTGTTCTTCAATCTCTTGTGAAAAAACCAGAACCATCTTTTTCCATAGTGCTTCTGTTTCAGAATGTGAAAGATGACATATTAGCACTTAATAAGTGCTTAATTGTTACTGAATGAATACAAATATAGAATGAATGAATGAATATTGAAGGAATGAATATAGAACATCATAATGGAAAAAATACACATCTACTAGGTGTATGGACTCATGATGTAACTCAGCAAAATATTTCCCTTCTAGTCCTCCCAAAGATATACACACAGAAAGACATATATTTAAACAAAATAGAATGGTACCATATTTAACATTTTATAACTGCTTTTTCACCTTTCTTCATGTCATTAAGTATACATCTATATCATTTTAATGAACTCATCACATCTATTTTATGGATATAGCACAATTCATTTAAACACACTCCTAAGTTGGACATTTACATTGCCTTCATTTTTCTATGTTATAAACAATGCTGTGGTTAACACATTTTTGCACAGTACAGTTTAGATAAATTTCTAAAGTATATATGAATTTTAAGGCTTTTGAAGCATACTGCAAAACTGCCTTCCAGAAAGTGTGTGAGATTATCATTCCCCCAAGCAATGTATGAAAGACATTGTTTCCTCACATCCTTAATTAACACTGCATGCTAGATTTTAATTTAATGTGTTATAATCCAACAGTATTTCCTTTATGATTTCTGACTCATGAATCAAGGCCTAGAAATAATTTCTCTCCTAAAAGATTCTAAAAATGTCTACCTATAATTTCTTCTAACACTTTTTATGGCTTCATTTTTTATATAAAAGTCATAAATTCCATCAGAAATGAATCCTGTTTTAAGTCATGGTATAGGCATGTTAATTTCAAAAAGGAAACTCAATTGTTCCAATACATTTAATAAATAATCTCTATTTTCATCTGTATGATATATATGATACATTAAAAGAACATATTTAAGAATTATATTTATATTTAAAGAACATATAAAAGAATTATATTTAGATCAGTTTCTGGATACTGCATTTTTTTTTCTGTTGGTCTGTCTACTTTTCCTTGACTATGACATTATTTTAATTATTATAATCTCATAATGTACTACATATTAAGGTTCTCTTTTCTGCTTATGCATTAGAAGAATATTTATATTTGTACAATATTGTATCTTCCCATCTAGAGAGACAGTCAGTCCCTTTCTTATTAAAGCTTTATAACTTTACCTTGTAGTTTTTTTTTCCCAACGAAGACTCATATTTCTTGCTATTTTTTTCTACACAGTTCATAATTTTAATTGGTACTGTGAAATATATTTTTCTATTATGGTATTTAACTAATTATTGTTTTTATAGAGAGAGATAGATAGCTATTGGTCATGATATAGTCATTTTCTAAAAGAGCATGTTATATAAATATTACTCAATATTTTCTTATATTTCTAATCAATCATATAATCTGCAAATATTAGTTTTTCCATCTTTTGTCATATTTACCACTTTTGCTTGTTTTAAAAATCTGATTGCACTGGTTATCACATTTGGGAGAATGTAAAGAATGTAAATGCGTAAAACTTTCATGATTTTAATAAAAATACTATTAATATTAAGCATTATAATCAATTCTCATTTCAGTACTGATGATAGAAATAGGCTGAAACACATCAAATATATAAAATCTATGACATTACAGTAATAATAAAAGCAATAACAGCAATAGCAATAGGAAATCTTCATAGGTCACTATTAGAGATTGAGAACCCATTACTCTGAAATTTGATAAAGGGAAAGATTCAACTATTCATTCTTTCTTTCCTAGATTAATTAGCTGTGTTTTAGGGCAACCAAACAGTTGATAAAGGAAATTCTTCTTTAAAATAATAATTTCACTTAATAAATGTTGAAGGAATGACAGAAACTCATCATTTTGCAATACCTAATGATATAATATATGTAGCACACAAGTGTGAATAGATTTTAAAAGAAATAGATAAAATGTTGATGGAGAAGTTTATTTTGCAGGGAACCATGTTACTAGAACATTAACTCACTGACAAATGTCTACCTCACAAGTAAGCAACCAGACATTATGAGCCTCATTAGGTACTAGGAAATGCTCTTGGCTTAAAAACTAAAAAACAGAAACAACAAAAACTTTCTGAATCTATCTAGCCTAAGATGACCACCAATTTATAGAAAGAAAAATAGAGGAATAAAATGAATAACAGTGAAAAAGTCCAAATCTAGAACACTGGATATTCAAAAGGACAAATAACCTGGTTTCTTTAGCAATTCAATGGTATTAAAGATAAAGAGGTTTGTGATAGAATAAAGGAATTTAAAGAGATAGGCAATCAAATGTAGTATAGACCTTGATTTAAAATAAATTGCAAATAGACATCTTGAAAACAATGTCAAACAATTTACTATGGACTTGGTATTAGATGATATCAAGAAATAAGTATTTAATTCTAAAAGATCTAATAATGGGCTTCCTGGAAATATAGAAAACAAACAAACTAAAAACAATATCTTTGTCAGTTAGAGAAGCATACTGAGATATCTACAGGTAAAAGGACACCATCTCTGGGGTTTAATTTAAAAAGTCGGTGGGGCATACCTCATCAACAAGGGTACCTGCATAATCAATGTTTGTATACCTAACCCTGAAATGTACCTCACATCTTTATAATAATAATAAAATAAAATAAAAAGCTGGTTACAATAATGGAATAAAATACATAAAAGAGTGGTGAACTATTGATAAGTATTGGAACTAGGTGATGAGTAGATTGAGGTTTATTATATTATTCTTTCTACTGTGTAATACATATGGTTAATGACAAGAAAGAAAGCAAGTAAGAAGCAAGAGACAGTGAGAAAAATAGGTGAGGATCAATGATGAATCTGAGTAAAAGAGTAAAGGCAATTAATATATTAAGTGCATAGGTAAGAATGAGAGGATGCTAACCCATTAAAGTAGAAGTGGTCCAAAAACCTAAGGGAGGGAATGTTAGAAATTGCCTGGAACTTAGAATGGGGGCAGATAGGGTAAAAGGTAAAGAGTTGGAGAAGGGGGCAAAAGTATTCAAATAAGATGCCTAGAAGGGCACTCACTATCTCTACCTGGATCACAAATATTTGAGAACTAGCATCATCAATACTGCTTCATGTATGGGTTATTTTTCTTTGGTCTACCAACTTCTCCCACACTGCTGCTTTATGGAAAGCATCCTAATGGTGCTAAATTTTAAAATTTCATCTAATGACCACTACAGTAAGGGTTATAACCGCCATTGTTTATTTATAAAATCTTCTTTTAAACAACAGATTGCTGCATCTTAAGAGACCTTTAAAGTGTCTTTAATCTCACTTAATAACATGAAAAAAAAATCCCTCTGAGTTGCGTGTTATCCTAGGGTGTACAGAGAAGGCAATCCAGTGAAGACCTGCCTTGTCACATTCAATAGAGCAACTGCAGAAGCAATTTGTTACAAGCAGATGGATAGTTGAACACTAAAAAGGATGATAAACTAGAAAGAAATTAGATATTGAAAACAATTTCTTTTAGGCTTATCATGAAACTTCAGTTTCACACAAACAATTGTATTTGAAGAAGTCAGGAAAAAAAAAAAGCCATACTAAGATGGGTGCCCATGCAAACAGAACTTTACACATGCTATAGCCTTTATAGTCACCATTTACTTGATTGGTCCAAATATTTATAGTTCATTGTTATGACTGCCAAAACTGGCAACCACAAGGATTGTTGTCTCAATTAGGACAGTAAACAGATTGTCTCTTTTTTTAATGAAAAAATCTAAAATGTAATACTTCACAGTTTAACATGTTTATTCATCTAAACGAGCTAAAAAATAATGGTGCGACATCTGTTCGAGAGGCATTGGTACCTCAAATTTTGGCTGCCTCCCCACCAATTTGGTTGTTGTTTTAAAAAATGAAGAATAGGAGGGAGTACTGTCATCAAAAAATCTTCTGGCATGTAAAGTATCTTATTTTTCTTGAAATAAGGATCACATATCTGTTGCTAGAGATAAAAACAAATTGTATAACAAGGAGGCACTATGCTAAAATACGGCTGCAGTTCAATTGTTTTAAATGTCTTATTTACCCATTATGGATATTTCCACACTGGTATAGTTCTTTACATGACTCTATACTTACCTGTATAACTAAAATCAGAACAAAATGATAGGAATGTGTCTATACGTATTGATTCAGCTTCTACAAATTTTTACTATGAGTTGCACTGATCCTAGATACAGTGTTCGTGGAACAAAATCTTGCAAGCATGATTCTATCTGGGTTACACTGCAGCAATTCTAATCAAAGGCAGTGCTGCTAAGGGAGATATGGTAGGAATCTCCCCAGAGAAGCCCCAGGTAAGTGTAAAGAAGTTAGACTGTTGGTAAGGAGAGAATACAAAGTCATCTTAGGTAGACTCTGGCTCAACAACCTAATATTATGACGAAATACATTAAAATTGAATAAGTTTAATTTCTAGACATTTATTTCTGAAGCTCACAAATAGCACAATTTGCTCTACTGAATCATCATTGACTACAATTTTAGAACCTAGAAAATACAATGCTTTAGTATTCACATAAACATTATAATGAAAATTTATTTCTATTTTCATTTGGAGTGCAGATGTATGTTAAGTTGATTTCAAACACTGAGTGTGAGTTTTAATAAATACTAAGATAAAGATAGCATATTTAATTTCTAAGAAAAAAGCAGTATTTCTATCCTATAACAGCCTTAATGTTAATTGTCTTGATCTTAAAGAGAATCAGGATGGATCACATATATGTCACAATACAACCAATAACCACAGTGCTAAATGCTGAGTTGATCAATATTGTTTTAAGTTTTATTGAATTGAAACAATTTTTATTGTCTATCCTACATAAAGAACTGTGCTAGACTCTCAGAGGACTAAAAGACATTTACTTAAATTTTAACGTTCACTTATTAAATTTATGTGCGGATTACTACACTATTGAAATTACAGAAATGAATAAGAACATACTCTCAGAATCTCACAATCGCATTGGTTGGAGTGAGAGTATTTGTTTCTTTTGTCTTTATGAAAAATTGAAGACAGAAAATCTTGCAGGATTCTGCCACCTTAAAACAACAACCCATCCTATATTTTTACTAAAATAGACTTTTGTTTGTTTTAAGGAAAATTCTAGATGAGGTTATATTTTTACAATGCTGTATCTCATCTCCAATTAATTTACATATTCTTTACCCTGTCTACACTTGCATGCAAAATAGGAACCAGAAGCCTTCAAACTTCAGTCACCGTATTCCATAGGACATATTTTAAGTTTGCTGCATTAGTTGAAATTTATTTTGCAGAGTATGTTAACGAATAGACATTTTGAAAAGTCATTATAACTTTTTCTGTTTTTGTCTTCTAAACTACTCAGCAGTGAATTATTGGAGGGAAAATGCCTAAAGTTTGTGTCTGGTGCCAGTCTCAGATTTACGTCAAACACCACTCACTATTCAAAAGTGTGGTCCCTTGAAACAGCAGGCTGGATATCACCTTTCTGTCTTCAAAGATTCAAACCAGACTTTCAATCTGGGATTTCTCTACAGAGGATTGGCTGCTTACCAGTTAATGTGAGTTTTGCAAAATTTGCATTTCACGAAAACAGTTTTGTGTAAACATATATTGTGTCACTTTACCTGCTATTTACTGAAATCAGAGAGTTTGGCTTTTGGGATTTATGATTCTCTGGGACCATCATAAGTCTTTCAGCCATACAGTAAATGGATTCGCTGTAGACTCATATTGATAAATCTAGACAAAGAAATTTGCCTTAACTATATTATATTTAGACTAATACTTATTGCTATCAGAAACATTTCTCCCTCAAAAAAAAAAGAGTAAAACAGAATGGTAAAGTTTTTTTTTCCAGGATGATGATTTTTCAAATATTTCCAGGAGCATAATCATCTATTTAAAATACTGTAAACTCTGTTATATTTTACTTGGATAGGTCTCTAATAAGCAATTATTACATATACTCTCATTTAAATTACCACTGAAAACTAGAAATAATCTTTATTTAATATGACTGTTTTTAACACCATATGGGAGGGGAAATAACTAAATGAAAATTGTTCACGTAAATGTGATGGGAGTGGGGGGAAAAGCAGTATTTCTTGACATGTGGCATGTCACTCAGGAAAGTAAAAGGCCCATCATATCCAAAATGCCAGCTTGGATATTCCCTTGCCTCCCACTTCACGAACAGACATACCACATGGCATTAAATGCTGCAACCTTTCCTAAAAATGCCACTTGGATTGGTCCGCTGTGGTAAGTATATAAGAACGCTTGGTCTGTCTCTTGCATTTGTGAGTTCAAGGGGAAGAATCCAGTAAATAACACTGGCTAAATTTTGCCCTCAGATGTTTGGCATAAATGATCTGTGAGGATATTGGAACCTTTGGCTGTTTTCACACTGATGAAATAAATTATGCTACTTGAAAAAAATTCTGCAGAACATAATGCTACACAGTCACATTCAACTTTTTGCAAAAGTACCAAAGAATATCTGTCTTTTAGAAACTGTGCTTAGAAAGCCCTACATATTCCTGGAATATTTACCAAAGATTTCTTCTCTTGGCCAGTATGAAAACAATCTTAATATTTTATTTATTCTTCATTAATACAATGTATGTAATATAAAACACTTTGTGCACATATTTCAAACTTCATCTTATATGCATTTATATAAGGCAGTAACTAGCAACTCTTCTGTGGACAGGTAGTTTCCAATTTTCTAAGCTTTATGTGTTCATGTGTTTTAAAAAATATGTAAAAATCTAATTATCAGTAAAATATTGAATATACTGGTCATTATGTTCCCACAAATGCAAAATACGTTGAAAAAAATTATATAAACAGATAATTACATATGAAAGTAATATGAGGCATATGTTTTCTTCTATTATTTATTTTTCACTAAAGAATTCTAAATTGATTAACTCTTAAGAGATACAATGTAATTTTGTAAAACAATTTTATATTGTTCATATTTAGAAGACAACCCAAGAAGATGTTTCTGAATAGGAAGGACTCTTGCTATTACTGTCAAGTGAAAAAGACTGCACAATTAAATGACAGATTGTTACATATCTACCTAACAAGAGGGGCAAACTGATACTACAAGCAGCCAGAACAACATAATTAAAATAGAATTCCAAGTTTATATTAATAGAGCAATAAGTTAATTAAAATCAAGATCAACTGAACTTTCTATTTACACCAACTCAGACAGCCCAAGAGGAAAAGAACTCTATTTTAGAGACATATGTGACTCTTTGAGCTTCTGTCATCCAGGTGCCATTTCTGATGGAGCACATGTGCACTGAACAGTTGGCAAAGATGGAAAAAGATTACTGTAGATGTATGTGCAGATAGTCTCTCTAATGATATAAAATACGTCTGGAAAGAGAGCAGGGCTTCTTTGAAAAATAAAAAACTTCCCATGACTTTTGTTCCTTCGTAGGTTCTGAATGTGATTTGAGAGTTTCTGTAAATGAGGATATATACTTTTAATTACGATGTATATAGAACAAAAATAGAATTAGTAATCTGTAAGTTATGTAATTATACATAAATTGGCAAAGACATTTGAAAAATTTAGGATCTATTTTCCATTTTATCTAAATGCACCCTGTACAGGGTGTCTTTCAAAGCAAAAAGATTTTTTAAAGTATCCGGTAGCATATATTATACTGCATTTCTAGGGAAGGTTCTTTCCTTGATATCCTCTGCAACTATTTAAAAAGATATTTATGCAAACTGAAAACACCAGCAGAAAGAATTCAATATGTTGCACTTTCATTACTGAAAATATTGGTCCCAATAGGTGCTTTTATAAAATTATTTCCCTCTCATTCATTGACTGCTGCTTAGCTAATCTTCATCTGGGTCCAGATCAGGGTTAACATCCGTGGAGAGTCTGAGATAAAAAAGAGCATAGAAAGCCAGTAGCAGTGCCAATATAGCTGCAAGTACAAGGCCAACTTCCTGGGGAAGAAAAAAAAAGTGACTTGAAATTGATGAAAAGCGATTGGTTAATGTTATCAGTTCCATTAAGTAAAATAAACATATTTTCTCAGTCCAAAATGATTAAGTTGAATGAATAATCACATTCTTTTTGTTTACTACTTTTTGCTAGTAAGTAAAGAAACTTATTTTGCACTTGACCATTCCCAATGCAATGGCAAGTACAGCAGGTGAGTCATTGATATTAGTATTTCTAGTTAATTTGGATTTTGGGATATCAAAATTGTATATAAGCAATATAGTCTGTACCTACAAAATCAATGTTTTCTTTTTTGAGTATGTTTAACTTTATTTGTTGCTTTAATATATTTATTATTAGTGACAGCATTTGGACACAGATTTTTAAACAAATTAAATTTCCTTTTTATTGGAAAAAAGTTATAACCATTTTCTAGATTATGTCTCCTTAAATATTTTCATTAAATATTACTTTGTTAAAACTCTAATTTTTAAACTCTATAGTTTAGATTGTGGGAGACAAAACTGAGTGCTCTTAGCTCATGAAACATGGTACAGTACAACTTATCCCAACGTGAGGTATGGTTCTGAATATTTAATTTGGTGCTTTGATGTGGATTATATTCATCAACTCTGTTAAAATAATGGTCAAAAATTTACTAAATATATTTTGATAAAAATCATATTATCTCTCAAAAAGTATATACTGGAAATGCAAAATATATATATACACATTTTAAGAGATGTCTGAGGTAATCTTATAATTACTGGATATCACATCCCTTACCTTGTACTGTTTTACAGAAAAGTAATTAATTTACATTTACGTGAATATAATTTATATTTCCCAAGAATATTAATTCAGTAATTCAACATATACCATCTAATAAACTTTAAAAACATTGAAATGAATTTAGTTTATAATCAACATAGAATTTTTACCTGGATGTTAAAATTATAAATAGTTATTTTATATGGATTTTTTAGCTTTATAATTACATTTAGTGACATTTCCAAACTATGAAAATAAATATTAATAAAAACCAGAAGGTTGAAAACTCAGTGTCAATGATTTTTGTAAGATTTCATTTCTTAAATCTAATATATCAAAATAATGTCAAATGAAAGTGAATTTTTCTTTGTTGCAGTTGAAACACTTTGCCATCTCAAAAGGGCATGGCAGCATCAGACAGGTTTCATTTATTTTCTTATATCCACAGCTGTGCTCCCAGACCCATCTGGTTACACAGCTACTAATTTTAAGAAGATGTAATAAACAAGTGACACACAACTGCAAACTCCATCTGTTCTGTATAGTGGACAACAAAACTGTTTAACAGCATTCACCTATTTACCCAAGCTTAATGAAAAAATAAAGTTTCTATTCTTGATTGGAAGCCATGATTCACCTCTTACTGATAATCAACTGTAATTGCTGCTTTTCAACTCCTTGTCCTTAAAACAACTTTTGTCAATCTCCCTGTACACTATCAAAATATCCAAGGCATGAAAAAGAAGGTTAAGTGTAGGAAGCAGAGAATATTCATTCATAGAATACAACTTTAGAGGACCCATTAAAATGATTATGTCTGTTCAATACATGGTATGGCTACAAAATATTGAGTGGGAAGGTGTAGCGAATCATTTTCTTTAAAAATTACTATTATTTTTGCTGAGAAGATGATCATTGTGGAGGCTGAATGACTGGAAGTTTAAAGCAATAGTAAAATTTGAAAATAATGCTTGCAGGATGCTGGTGACACTAACCATAACTTAGATACCTGTAGGCATTTATGACTCCTCTGCCATTTTTGCCCTTGGACATTTTTAGCTTTAAATCAAAAAGCACAAAAAAGGACAAACATAACATTTCAAGCTGGCTCATCCCAAGGGGTTGTGGCAGGATCTGGTTCACATATGAATATTTTATTTATGCTACAAAACTAAATTTTTGATCTTTATTCTTTTATTATGATTATGTCTTCCAAATAAACAAGTTAACAAATATGTATCCTTGTCCTTCTAAATACTAGGAAATACAGGTATTTAGATTCTAAAAAACTTATAATGCTGCTGCAATTCTTGAACATCAATCCTCTAATTGAGCATCTACCAAATAGAAAACTTAGTTGTGCAAATATTTTAGGTAGTACACTTTCCATTATTTGGCCATAAATTATAACATTTTATTTATATTTGTAAGACAAAATAAAAACAGCTTCTCAGTAGAAATCAAGTCTAGATTTTAGCATAATATATTCATACCTTATGATAAAATCAGTAACTATTCCCTCAAAACATTTACTAAACATACATTTACAAAACAGCCCTAGAAGCCACTGAGCATAAAGGCCCTACTGGATAATTCTTTGTATCTCTAGTCCATGATGGCTCAATCAGTATTGATGATTTGATATGGTAATTAAATCTGGAAGTTATTTCTAGTATTAGTTCTTCCAAGATCATCATGTCTTATCTTTCTTTCCATGGGTGCTACAATATTGTTATATTTATGGTAATTTCTAAATAAATAATGAAGGATTGAGTAATATCAATATGATCTTTATATAAGGCACATTAAAATTATGTAATGCTTTTAAAACTTTACAACATTAATATCCATAATACTATCGCCACAGCCAAACTAAGGACATTTTGTAATATTTCATATAACTGCACAATGCAAACTTAGTTGAAATAGAGTATCTGAAGGCCAGTGACATTCAATGGAATGTCACAAGTTAGAAATGGCCAATTTAAACAAATATTTTCTCAATAGGCTATTGACTCATAAATTACTTCTATGTGCTAAATTCAGTGTTCAATGTTTTCACTGTAATTTAGCTCTTCGAACAACATTATTAGGTAAATGGCAAAATCTCCGTTTTATTAATGTGTCACCTTAGACTCATCTAAATCATGGCAACAGGAAGGGACAAGAGGGATGTGATCCTATGCCTCCTTATCTTGTGCTCAGTGTTGTTGTTTTGCTGTCATATTTCTATCCATGCACCTGTTCATATTTTTGTAGATTTAAATTATTTGAAGAACATAACTATGATTCATTTGAAAGAATATGTTGTAAAGTGATAAAATATTACAATATTATGGTCATTCTGTATCAACTAGATAAGAGTCAAACATGTTTGGTGCTCATTAGTCTTTACTTGCTTCTCTGACATTATCAATATGGATAAAATCACTCACTGGGGAAATTAAAAAGCATTAAATGGCAATTGTGAAAGAAACTTTGTTATTTAGAATCCTATGCCAAAATGACAAGGCAATCAAAGTTTGACAGGGCAAACTAATCTGTATGCCAGATTTAAAATGTAAAACACTTTCATGGCTCTGACTCTTAAAAAGTTTCATATCATATTAATAGGCTCTTCACATAAATTTTCAAGCAAAGTAAACAATATTTAAGGTTAAGGTCTTTTTTTCCACAAGTTTACAAATCCAAATGATATGCTAGCTTATTTAACAGAAGCTATGTTCTAATGTCAGTTTGGAACTCTTATGTACATACTTTAAATATTAAGTACATTCTAAGAAAAAAATGTTCTCGCAGTTAAGAAAATTCTTGAGTCTTTTGAAAAGACACTAGATATCTGCACTATAAGATAGACTTTATCTCATACTGGAAACCTACTTACTTCTTCAAATTAAAACAATAACAAAAAATAAGAGCTAATATCAAAAGGGAAGTGTGAAAAAGGTGGTATATAAATAAATGAATGGCTGCATATTTCTCAAATCCTAATATGTAACTTCCCATTATATTGTGCCTTAAGTGGATTTTGTTAACTCAACATTTTTCTAAAAAACAAACAAACAAAACCCCACTGCATTGTAAAAGATAAAAGTAAACAACATCTTGTTTTGGAGAACAATGACAAACAGTGCTCTTAATTCAAGCGATTGTCATCAAGTAACAAAATGTAAAATAAAAAACTAAACATTGCTTTTAGAAAAGTCATGTCATCAAAATATTTCTTAAGGATGAGTGAAATATATGAAATTAGAAAATAATTTAAAAGATGAATCTTCTCTCTTTTAAACAAAAAGGCAATTTACTTTTTTCATTAAAAACTGACACACAGCAATAACTGGGGAGATTGTGTTGTGAAAACATACCACATCACACAGCAATGCTTGATCAAAATCAGCAATCAAGAGCAAAAAGAAGGCAGTGCATCGTGATCATAATAGCAAATTCTGGAAGACAACCAAATATATCATCTGGCAGTTTAACAGCTGTTACAGCTTGGTAGTAATACCTTGGCATTTGCTGTAAGCTATAACTTAGAAAAATTGATTTTTCATCTGCCAGATAAAACCCAAAATCTCCTTTTAACATCTTAATATTTAAATAAAATATATGTATTGGTCATTTTTATTCTACCCGTTTGATAGTAGGGTTGCCAAATTAATTTTTCTATTAATAGTTTATTTCAACTCTACCTTACAAAAGATTGACATGGGCAATAATGTAAATGTAATTTTGTTGAGCTTCACTGTGTTAGCACATTGAATTAATATCTGCCAACATCATTCTCAGTTATTTTTATCCCTCGTAAGCAGATGAAACACTGGTATTCTAATAGAACAAGTTTAGGATCATCATTAGAATTTTATCAGAGTACCTAAAAAACAAGTACAGTAAAATTACATGTATTAATGATGTAAGTATATGTAATTACAACTACAGTTTAAACAACTATAAAATAAAGTTTATTTAAAAGGAAAAATTCTTTTAACTAAGGCTATATACATCACTGAAGTGTTTGAATAATATAAACAGTATCTGGAGAAAAAAATAAATGGCAATTTTAAGTATAACTGGTTCTTTTAAGTGACACTGTGCTTTAAGAGTCTTTAAAATCTTAGGATAGGAAGGATGTTTTCCATTAAGTAAATTCTTTACAAAAACTTTCAAGTCTGGCATTCTATATAGATTTTGAAATGTCATAAAACATTTATAATTCAACATTTATGCAGTCCAGTTTTAGAAAATGAAATGGCATGCACATATCAAAATTTAAAGTTATCAAATAGAGGTCTACCTTTATGCCTATTGCTGTTTTCTTTGCTTCTGCTTTTAATTTGGTTGCTCGTAAAATAGGTTTGGTTTTTTTATAATCCTGTTTACCTAGAAAAAAACAGTTTCAGACCATGAGTTATGCTTATGTATAATTCAAGTTTAACAATCATCTGAAATGTCAAAGAATGTTTAAATAGAGTAAAACAGAGACACAGGGTTGCAAAGTGGTTCCCAGTTGTGGTAACAATAAACTTGTCACCTAAAGGCCAACTTTTCCACCTCTCTAACTTTTATAGGAAGAAGATAATGATGGGCATGTGGTGTACAGTGAATGTTGAAAAAGATAAAAAACTCATTTTAGAGAACAGAAAGTTTAAAGAGAATAAAATTTTTGGAAGAATTTAGAAACAAATGCTTAAATGAGTATATGTAAGATTCTATTAATAATAAAGTTAATTTTGTCTTCATAAGTGAAGAGTAACAGCTCATAATAAATTTATTTTATTATGGATGCATTAAGTATTTGATACATCAATAATAAATATCTTCTAGTTTTCTCTAAGTACAAGACTAATGAAGAAATTGGTAAAGGATGAATTTTAGTTGTTTAAATTCATTAGAAAAAATATGTGTTTAACTTTTATTACCTCTTAATAGAGAATGGAATAAATATGGCTAGATAACAAATTCAGTATAGCTACTTTTAGATAATAGTTCCAGTTATCTCTAGCATATTTCACAGTTCCAAGTGAGAAAAACTGAGTTAGTTCCACAAAATTCCCTTTTTTAGTATATCATCTGGTGACCTCACCAGTGAGTAACAAAAAAGAAAACTTAGAAAAACTGGTTTTTCATCTGTCAGATAAAACCCCAAATCTCCTTTTAACATCTTAATACTTAGTGCCAGGCGAAGTGAATCATACCTGTAATCCCATCTCTCTGGGAGGCCAAGGCAAGAGGATTGCCTCAGACCAGGGGCTCAAGATCAGCCTGCTAGGCCTTGTCTCTTTAATAAATCAAGAAAAATTAGCCAGGCATGGTGATGTGCTACTTGGAAGGCTGAGGCAGAATCACCTGAGCCCAGCAGATCAAGGCTGCAAGTGGCTGTGAACAGTGTCATTCCACTCTAACCTGGGCGACAGATTGAGACTCTGACTCAAAAACAAATAAAACCTTAATATTTAAATAAAATGTATGTATTGGTCATATTTATTCTACCCGTTATATAGTAGGGTTGCCCAATTTATTTTTCTATTCATAGTTTAAGTCAACTCAATTCTAATAACAGAAGCATTAATAACATGCTTTGTTAATCAAACTCTTAACTAATAACTGAGTCAAATGATCCTCATGTACAACAGTATGACATCTATTCTAAAAAAGAGTTAACATATGACCATATAATCTCTCTGGCTATTTTATATTCCTGTTTTGCCTTGTTTTCACTCTATCCTCTTTTTTTTCCCAATGATCACTTCCTTTGCAAAACTTATCCTGACACTTCTAACTTCTACATCTTCTTCACATTGAGATAAATCTGAAAGCAGTTGAACCAAACCTGAGTATATCATAAAAATTTAACATATATTTATTAATGTGTCTCTTAATGATTCAAAAAGTATCTTTAAAATTTCATATAGAGTTTTAGAATTAGAAGTGGTAGAAGTGAGTCAAATGGATGGGAGTAATGACGATGCACTATATTTGTGCTCATTAGATACATACTCATATAAGTGTTTGTTTGGCTGAAGAGTTAGGTACTTGATTTTAAAGGCGGTATGAACTTTCCTTACCAGTTATTGTATAGCAGTGATTCTGCATTTATGAGCATGCAGAAGCTTAATAAATATAATTTGATAATGGGAAACATATATCAAGTGATCTAAATTTACATCATGGAATGAACAAAATACAGAAAAATATTACTCTGGGCCATTTTAAATTAGCAACATTTAATTTTTATGAAAAAAAATCTTGGCAAGTGTTCACTCTGATATCACAGCTCAAGAGTCAGACTTTTCATGACATTATTCCTGCTGAGACATAAACAATTCAGAGCAATGAAAATGATGACATATCAAATGCCTCCACTTAGGGTTATAAAGTAAGTTTCTAATAAGAATCTAAAAAGAGATTTAAAGTTTATGGATTTAAAATTAAAAAGTAATTTCTTGTTATATCCTGTGTATGTCCTACAATCATCTCTTGGTGCTATGGGAGAAAAATAAACAAATGCAAAAGGATTGTCTTAACCCATACGTTTTTCATACAAATATGCAATATTTTGGATACCATGTCTGTCATAAAACACTTTCAAATATACCTCAGAGTCAATGTTAAAGTGAGAATTTATCACTCTACTTCAAGTGCCATTGGTTAAATAATGTATTCTATTTCAACTCTCAAATTCTCTCAGAGAATAATACTTCTAGATTTATATTAAAGTTGATAGAAACATTTGAAACTGTATTTGTAATAAAAAAGATAGTATTAAAAATTATTGTACACCTGATACTTCTCCAAAAAGTACATCTGTCATTAATTTAGTATTCTTCTTGCTGACCATGATATCCAAAAGTATAAATTGCAAAATGTGGTTTCGGTTTGCTAAGTGAAAACATTTACAAGGGTATCTGCTAAGTTCTTTATAACTAAAACCAGATCTTTCCATGGTATCCAAAGAAGTTTTTAACATTCAATTTTTATGGCTTCAAGAAAGCTACCTATGCCCACATGACTGTAAAAAATATAAAATATATAGGTCCTTGCTTCTTGAGTACTTCCACCTAGGAAAAAGACAGATAATCTAGATTTTATATGTAGATTGTTTCTTGAACAAAACTGGGACTGATTTTGGTGATATAAAAAATGTAATAATCGAAATAGTTATTCAACAGTTGCTCATTAACTTTTATGTGGAAATAAAAACTTGATAATTCAAGACTATGAAGTCAATCTGGGGCCCCGAACATCTAGTTTCTCCGCTTACAATAACACTATTCACACAAAATGTCTGTATTTTCATTTCCTATCATACATTTTATATAACAGCTTTTTCTCCTCATAGCAATGTTCCTGACAAACTGACTTTTGCTTCCTCGTGCCAGTATAATTCTATAATACTGTTATATTTTTTAGTGATCAAACACTAATATTGACTTGTTTTCTTCCACAGTACAAAGGTATCAGAGTTTGTTTTCTGATTCACTCGTTAAGGTATGCTTGGGTTATTTATAGTGTTTGGCAAGTATAACTAGAGCTACTTGAAGCATAGGTGTACAGATTTTTGTGGGAAAATAAGTTTCCATTTTCCTAGGGTGGGAATGCTGAATCATATGATAAATATATATTTAACTTTGTAAGAAACTGCCAAACTGTTTTCCAGAGTAGCAGTATCATTTTTCATTCCCATTATTTTTTGCAATGTATGAGTTCTGGTTAACTTTGTATCATCACTAGGACTTGGTACTCAATCTAGACTATCTAATTTTTTAGATAGTTCATCATATTCCCTTATGATCCATTTTATTTCTTACGGCCAATAGTGATGTACCTTCTTTCAATCCTAATGTCATTAATTTGAATGTTCTTTTTTTTATAGTTAGCTAGCTGAAGTTTTCAATTTTGTTGATCTTTCCAAATTAACAAATATTTGATTTTATTTATTGTTGCTATTATTTTTATGATCTTTGTTTTGTTTATTTCTACTCTAATCTTTATTATTTCCTATAATCTGCTTGCTTTTGTTTTAGTACGCTCTTCACTTTCTAGATGGTAAGTGGAAAATTAGGATATTGTTTTGAAATCTTCACAACTACAGGTGTGCACTACCATGCCCAGCTAATTTTTGATTTATTGTAGAGATGAGGTCTCGCCAAGTTGTCTGGGCAGGTCTCAAACCTGCAGGCTCAGGCAATCCACTCGCCTTGGCCTCCCAAAGCGCTGGGATTACAGGCTGAGCCACTGAGCCCGGCCAATATATTAATATATTAACAGCTATGAATTTCCATCTAAGTACTGCTTTAGCCACATCTCAAAAGGTTCTATGTGCTGCTTTGTTTTTATTCATCACAAAAGTATTAACTTTGTTATTTTTTCTTCAGTCTATTGTAGTGTATGGCTTAATAAACATATTTGTTTCCTTCTGTCAGCAATTTCAAATTTCATTTCATTGTGTTATAGAATAAACTACATGATTTCAATTATTTTTAATTTATTGAGTTTTGTTTTATGATCTAACAAATGTTCTATCCTGGTTAATATTCACTATGCAGATGAGAAGAATATGTACTCTGCTACTGTTGGACAAAGCAGTCTACAGGTTTAATTAATTTATGGTATTGTTCAAGTTTTCTGTTTTCCTTCTGATTACTTGCCTAGTTGATCTATCTATTATTGAAAATGGAATGTTGAAGTCGCCAACTATTATTGTTTAATTATATATTTCACCTTCAATTCTGTCAGAGTTTGCTTAATATATTTTGGGCCTCTATTGTTAATTGTATGTGATTATAATTATTATATCTTTCAGAAGAATTGACCCTTTTATCATTATAAAATGTTCTACATTTCTACTAACAGTTTTTGTCTTAGAGGTTACTCTGTATATTAGCATAGCTAACTAAGCTCTTTGGGGTTCTGTTTTTTGAGTGCCATTTTCTTCATCCTTTAATTTTCAAACTATTTAAGTCTTGAATCTAAAGTGCATTTTTTGTAGATAGAATCAGGTTTTCTATTTGATCTGTAAATCTCTTCCTTTTGAGTGGAGTGGTTAATACATTTATATTTAATATAATTAATAATAAAACAGAATTTATGTTTGATTTTTTGTGTCTTCTCTATGACATGTCAATATGTTTATTTCTTTCATGCTGCCTCATGTTACGTTAAATAGATATTTTCTAATATACTGCTTACATACTTTGTTTTTCTATATTGTTTTGAATTATTTCCTTAATATTATCCCTGGGGATTACAATTAATACCTTAACTTAAAACAATCTGGTTTAGATTAATAACTTAATTTCAGTGGTACACAAAATCATTCCTCCAATATCACTCCATTCCTTCCTGTTCACAGCACTAGTATTTTCATACAAATTATATCT